TCCTCATCTGTTCATTTCTAGCATATGATCATCAGATTCAAAATGTCCCATCCTAATCCATTTCATTTCACCAGTACCTAGTATCTCAATATTTATCCATTGCAAGTTCCAATTTTCCTAAATTCATACTTCTCACACTCCACATTCTAATTAGGTACCAGAAGAACCCAAGCATAGCTGACTCTCATGTGGGTTTTTAGATGTAGTAAATAGCACAGGAGGAGCTTTCCCATCCTTCTGTACATATATTGGAGTTCTAGCAGCCTAGTGGTAAAAAGCTATACTGCAATCCCAGAGGCACATGGTCCGAATCCACCTCTTTCTAGAAAGGCACAGGAATTTAAACTGAAAATATCTTTTTAAATGCTTGTTGAATGACTGCCTGGATGAAATCATTTGGGTCTAATACATTCAAGTTATTATAATATAGAAAGCCAACCACAGATGCTGTACTCAGTATCTTTATTGTTGGTTGCACTATTGACTAAAACTCATAGCAATCTTATGAACAACAGATATGAACCTTGTCTCTTCTGCTGTTATGATCGTTGGCTTGCTCAAGCCAATTGTTGACCGTGTTTCTATACATACAAATATAAACTGACAGATGAATGGTATATGTATTCATTTCTGTAAATAGACAGACAGACATATCTTACTGTCACCAAATCAATCTCTACTCTGTGACCCTCTACAGGATAATGATCTTGGTACCTTTCCTTGATTTAAATTTTCTTAATGCTCTTATGGAAAAGCCTCTCACAGCTTTTTTAAAAAGATGAAATGTGGAATTAAATTTTGTATTGTAAGATAAAAAATATTAACTTCAAAATATTGTGGCTCCTCCCTAAAAGTATCTAAATGTGTGTGCACTTTCATAGCCATCTGGAGAACTTCAAGGGAAAGATCTGAGAAGCCCTTACATTGCTGGCCAATTTGATTTTCATAGCAACTCTGTGAGCTTGGCATAAAATCCACACAGATGAGACATGAAAGCACAGCAAGGGCATGTAACTTGCTTGATGTGAGATAGCTAATAAGCAGCAGAATCTGAATTCAGCTAAAATCCAAATATGTGGAATGAAGTTTCACCATCTTTGCCTCTAAGGAGCACTCTAGTTTCAGTTCCTCCAAGACAGAGGGTTTTTGTTCTTCAGGCAGTTGTTAGGAAAACGTAAATGAACTCTACAGTGGAATATTTCATATTAGGATGTATGATTTGAAAGAGACTAACTACACTAAGTATTAGATTAATGGAAATATAACAGCCAGGATTAAAATAATGAGAATGTTCACACTTTGTAAAGGATGTAATTAATGTCATGGAACAAACTGTGTAGAAATTGTTGAACAGAAACCTAAATTGCCATGTAAACCTTCACCAAAATTACAATTAAGCATTAGTTTAAAATTAAAAAACAAACACACACATCCCAAGATAGGACCAAATGTCACTGAAGACATGAGGGAAAAGGGACCTTGAAAGACTTGACAGAAATGTGAAATAAACCACTTTGGAAAATAATTTCTTGGTATCTGTCATCAAGTAGGAAGTGACCCATAGCTGACCCTCCAGAGGGTTTCCAGAGGCAGTAAATGACATGAGATAAGACTGTCTATCCTTCTCCCATGGTGTATCTGGTAGATTTGAACCACATGCCTTTGGGATTGCTATTTTAAGAATGTGAACATAAACCTAAATATTTCCTTAAGAGAAATTGAAAAATATGTTTATACAAAACCCTGGACATGTGAATTTATAGAAGTCCTACTTGTAGTATTTTGAAACTGAAGACAATCAAAATGTTCAATTGTTAAATGAAGAAGTAAATTTTGATATTCATTCATTTGTTGTGTACCATTGAGTCTGAATTGACTCATAGCTTACCCTCTATAGAGAATTTTCAGATTACATGGAAGGAGATTATCCATCCTCCTCCTGATGGATTTTAACTGTGTGCCTTTGAGACTGCAGTGCAGTGTCTTATCCCTAGGCCATTAAAGTGGGGGGAAGGGGGTTATCCACAAAAGCCAACAAACAAAAAACCCAACCTAGATTCTGTATGCTAAGTCCACACTCTTTCCACAACAGCCTGAGTTAATGATAAATGAAATGTGGTTGCAAATGTAGCTGAAACAAAGTTAGTATACAAAAGAACTTTGTCAGTCCAATGAGGTGAGCAGCAAACACTGCTCTGCACTTAGCTGCTGATAGTGGCATCAGAGTGGATGGTACCAAAGCTACAGGATCTTGCCATTCTCACCCTGTTGAAAGCACTGGGATGGAATTCTCATCTTCCACACAAGAGGCTCAGGATCTATTTCTAGTCAATTCACCTCATCGGCATCAACTGGCATCTGCCAGTGGAGATTTGTGTGTTGCTATGATCTTGAACAGGTTTTGGCAACGTTATAGACAAAGAGATGGACTAAGAAGAAAAGCTTAAAGCTCACCATCCAAAAAGCAATCAATGAAAATTCTGTGGATTACAATAGAACATTGTTCAGCCCATAGCGATCATAAGGAAGGTGTAGGTCCATGCAGTATATCATTTAATTGTGCATGATGTTGTTGTTGTTGTTGCTTAATGTTGAGTTCAAACTTACTCATTGTTTACCCTCCAGTGTGTTTTAACAGGTAGTGAATTGTATGGGAGAAGACTACCCATCTTTCTCCTGCAGAACAGCTGGTGGATTGGAACTTTGGGTCGGCAGTGCAAATCCTTACTACTAAGTCACCAGAGCTTCCTGGTCTTCATAAATTGAGCTGACTTGACAGTGGCTAACAACAATCCTCACTTCTTTAAGACTATCTCTATCCCAGAAATTGACCCAGTTCTACACCCAATAGTATTGCTTGTATACTTCTCCTATTTTCTACTTTGTGAGCACCCGGAATCATTAGCCAGCCAAACGTTGAAGAAGGATGTCAGCCATCTGCAACTTCTCCCAAAGTTCCCTTTCCACAACAAGGAGACAGCAGGAGAGAGAAGTGAAAGGAAATCAATCAATGCAGAATTGGGACCGTAGAATGTTTAGTATACTTTCTTGGAGCATTTGCATCACCTAGCAAAATCTCTATCTTTTTCCATATGGAAGTGAGACAAAATGTGGCTATTGCAATTTGCAAATAGCAACAGCATATGTAAACTGTTCAGAAAGGGAAGGAGAAAGGGAGGTAGGAAGTAGAAGAAGGGGAAGGAAAATAGCATTAGTTATATAAAACATAAAGTAATGAAAGAATGTATAAAGCAATGTACATAAATAAAAAAGGCATTGATCAATAGTAATTAGTTATAAAAATAGAAATTATATATATTTAAATATGTATATATTTAAATATGTATATATTTATATATATATATATATATATATATATATGATTGTGTAAAACACAAAGTACATGAGTGAAGCAGAATGTAAATAATGAATAAAAACCAAGAAAAAAACTGGGGAAGGATCCCCAAACAGTATTTTAATATGAAAACAAAAAAATTTAGATTATTTAATTGGTTGCATTGTTGTTGTATACCCTCAAGTCAGAAGTGATCCATAGCTGACCATCCAGTGTGTTTTCAGAAGCAGTAAATCATACAGGAGGAGATTTTCCATCCTTCTTCCATTTTCTTGGTGGTTGTTGTTGCATTCTTATGTGCCATCGAGTCACCTGTGACTCATAGCAACCCTATGTACAACAGCCATAAACTCTTCCCTATCCTGTGCCAATCTCACCATCTCCAACACACGTACCCCCATTACCCCAGTCACTGAATCAATCCATGTCATCGAGGATCTTCCTCTCCCGTGCTGTCCCTCCACCCTCCCAAGCATGACGTCCCTCTCCAAGGACTGGTCCCTCCTTGAAAAATGTCCAAAGTATGTCAGATGAAGCTTCAGAATCCTTGCCTCCAAGGAGCAGCCTGGCTTCACCCTCTCCAGGACAAACCTGTTTGTTTTCCTAGCAGTTCATGGTATATTCAATACTCTTCACCCACACCACAGCTCAAAGGCATCAATTCTCCTTCTATCATCCTTAGTCTTTTCCAGCTCTCTGATGCATAGCAAGTGACTGCAAAGTCCATGGCATGTATCAGGTGCACCCCAGTCTCCAGACTGTCATCTTTACACTTCAGCACTTTAGAGACGTCTCTAACCACAGACTTTCCCTTCGCAATGTCTTTTAATTTCCTGGCTGCTGGTGCCAAGAGTGTTGATTGTGGAGCCAAGCAAACCAAAACTGTGAACAATCTCAATCTCTTCACCATCCATCATGATGCTGCCAATTGGCCCGGTGGTGAGAATCTTTGTTTTCTTGATATTGAGTCTCAATCCATACTGAATACTGTAGTCCCTGACCTTCTACAGCAAGTGCTTCAGGTCCTCTTCAGTTTCAGCAATCAGTGTTGTGTCATCTGCATAACGGAGATTGTTGATGATTCTTCCTCCAATCTTGATGCTACATTTCGGGTCTCCTCATAGAGCCCAGCCTCCTGGATAACCTGCATAAAGACTAAAAAGTTATGGAGATAGAATAGAGCCCTGGAGTACACCCTTCCCAATTTTGAACCGTACAGTGTTTCCTTGCTCTGTTCTGATGACTACCTCCTGGTCCAAGTACAGGGTTTACATTAGCACAATCAAGTGTTCTGGGATTCCCATTCTTCTCAGAACTAGCCACAGTTTGTTGTGATCCAGACAGTCAAATGTCTTTGCGTTATCAATGAAACAAAGATAGACATTCTCCTGTGGACAAATTTCTTGAAACTCATGTCCTACCCAGATTGATATGGATATGGACAGATGTAGAACACTTGAACAGATCCATCACAAAGGAAGAAATTATACAGGTCATAAAAAAAAAACTTCCCCACAAGAAAAGTCCTCGACAAGATGGCTTCACAGCGGAGTTCTACCAAACATTCAGGATCTATCACCAACTCAGCTTAAAGTATTGTAAAAAACTGGAAAATAGGTGTCTGGACTGGAACCTCCGGGCCCACAAATGAAGACAGAGATGAAACAAGAAGTACCCACCAGCTTCCTACCCTCTGAAGCATCTCAACCCAAGCCAGACGGACAACAATTCCAGAGTCGTAAGAGGCCTTATGAAGAAAACCGGGGACGGGGGTACTTTGAACACCGAGAGGATAGGAAGGGCCGCTCTCCTCAGCCTCCAGCTGAAGAAGATGAAGAGGAATTTGATGACACCCTTGTTGCCACTGACACATATAACTGCGACCTTCACTTCAAGGTAGCCCAAGACCGGAGTAGCGGAGTAGCGACTATCCGCTCACAATTGAGGGATTTGCATACCTATGGTCAGGAGCCCGAGCCAGCTATAGGGTCAGAAGGGGTCGAGTGTGCTTTGAAATGAAGATCAATGAGGAAATTTCCGTGAAGCACCTTCCATCTACAGAGCCTGACCCGCATGACTCCTGCAGCACTCAGCTAGGCGAAGAGCCTTTCTCCTATGGCTATGATGGCACTGGGAAGAAATCCACCAATAGCCGGTTTGAAAACTACGGAGACAAGTTTGCAGAGAACGATGTGATTGGCTGCTTTGCGGACTTTGAATGTGGGAATGATGTGGAACTTTCCTTTACCAAGAATGGAAAGTGGATGGGCATTGCCTTCCGAATCCAGAAGGAAGCTTTGGGAGGCCAACCCCTTTACCCTCATGTCCTGGTGAAGAATTGCGCAGTGGAGTTTAACTTTGGCCAGAGAGCAGAACCCTACTGTTCCGTCCTCCCAGGCTTCACCTTCATCCAGCACCTTCCCCTTGGTGAGCGGATCCGGGGCACTGTTGGACCAAAGAGCAAGGCAAAATGTGAGATTCTGATGATGGTAGTAGGCCTGCCTGCTGCTGGCAAGACCACATGGGCCATCAAACATGCTGCCTCCAACCCCTCCAAGAAGTACAACATCCTGGGTACCAATGCCATCATGGATAAGATGCGGGTGATGGGCCTGCGCCGGCAGCGAAACTATGCTGGCCGATGGGACGTATTGATCCAGCAAGCCACCCAGTGCCTCAACCGCCTCATCCAGATCACAGCCCGCAAGAAACGCAACTATATTCTAGATCAGACAAATGTTTATGGGTCTGCCCAGAGACGAAAAATGACACCATTTGAAGGCTTCCAGCGTAAAGCTATTGTCATTTGTCCCACCGACGAGGACCTGAAGGACCGAACAATAAAGCGAACGGATGAGGAAGGAAAGGATGTCCCTGATCATGCTGTGTTAGAAATGAAAGCCAACTTCATGTTGCCAGACGTAGGGGACTTCCTGGATGAGGTCCTGTTCATTGAGCTGCAGCTGAGGAAGTAGACAAGCTGGTGAGGCAGTACAACGAAGAAGGCCGCAAGGCCGGGCCACCCCCTGAAAAGCGGTTTGACAACTGTGGTGGTGGTTTCCGGGGCAGAGGAGGTGAAGGCGGTTTCCAGCACTATGACAACCGAGGGCCCTCTGGTGGCAACCGAGGAGGCTTTCAGAACCGAGGTGGTGGTGGTGGTGGAGGCGGCAACTACCGAGGAGGTTTCAATCGAAGTGGCAGAGGTGGCTACAACCAGAACCGCTGGGGTAGCAACAACCGGGATGACAACTCCAACAACCGAGGCAGCTACAATAGGACCCCTCAGCAACAGCCACCACCACAGCAGCCCCCACC